GGTTGGGCCAAGATTGACTATCCTAAAGTCCTCCAGTGAAATTCCATGGCTACAGGTTGACAAGCCTGGGTTTCCTTAGTTCTAATCCACACCTGACTGCGACATCACATTTGGCTTTCAAGGTATTACTCAGAGGTTACCTATCAGTTTTATTATCACTGGGGGCTTACTTTTAGAGAGATCTAGGTTTCTAGCCATAAACCAATCTTATCATGATTACCTCTTCTCTTGTAGTCACAATTCTTTTCCTACCAGCTATGTTCAGAGTATTAGGATTCCGTTGTATAGTTTCAGGATGTTACAAGTGTTCCTGCTTGTTGAGAAACAGCTCCTGAGTTATGCAGCTATTTTGGGATCAACAAAGTTGTCTTTGGTGCAACTTCACTTGATTTATAAGAAGCCTGATTCTGTTGACCTTCTGGGTTTCTTGCAGAGCTCATCCATTTCCTCAAGTGGTTTTTTTTTTTTTTTTTTTTTTTTGGGGGGGGGGGGGGGGGGGTGGCTGGGGAATGTTTTGGGGTTTTCTTTTTTTTTTTTTTTTGTGTTTTTTGTGTGTTTGTGTGTTTTTTTGTTTTTTTTTTTTTTTTTTTGGGGGGGGGGGGGGGGGGGGCAAGTAGAGTTTCCTAGGGAAAAGTTTCAGGTATATCATTTTTTTTTCTTTTACTATTATTATTTCAGAGGAAGTTGGATTTTTCCCCAACTGTGACTTGTTTGCAGAATTTATTTTACTTCTATGAGTGTTAATTTATCTGTAAGTGTTTTGCATATTGCATAGTTTGACGTTTTTTTTAAAAAAGCTGGCAGGATGGCTAAAGCTCTGGATGGATATACTAAAAATGGATTTATATAAATCAAAATAATCTTTGTTAGCTTTTCAAAATGATTTTAACAATGAAAGATGAATACCGCTAAAAGAGGGCTTGTGTATCCTGCCAAGATTTTTAAAAATAAAAGGTTACTCAGTATTTGAACCAGTATATAGTCTTGTAAACACATAAGTGAGTTTTGCCCCATTTTACAACTTTTCTTGCCACAATTGTTAAGTGAATCACTGCAGTTGATAAGTTAGTAACCCAGTTGTTAAGTGAATCGGGCCTCCAAATTGATTTTGCTTCTCACAAAAGGTGATCTAATGACCTTGGGACACTGCAATCGTCATAATATGAATTGGTTGGGCAAGCATCTGAACTTTGAGCCATGATCATAGGGATGCTACGAAGGTTTAATTGTGAAAAATGGTCATAAGTCGCTTTTTTCAGTGCCATTGTAATTTTGAATGGTCACTAAATGAACTGTTGTAAGTCAAGGACTACCTGTATTGGCTATGCGTCTTTTGAGCCCTTGAACTCAGCATGTAACCACGCCTCAGTGGCGCAGTGGTTAGAATGCAGTACTACAAGCTACTTCTGCTGACTGCCGGCTGCCTGCAATTTGGCGGATCGAATGTCACCAGGCTCAGCCTTCCATCCTTCCGAGGTGGGTAAAATGAGGACCCAGATTGTTGGGGGCAATATGCTGACTCTGTAAACTGCTTAGAGAGGGCTGTAAAGCACTATAAAGCAGTATAGAAGTCTAAGTGCTATTGCTATGTAGTCCAAAAGAGGAGAAAATTCTGATTATAAGGAAACCTAACCGCCTCTCCAACTCCAACATGAGTTTAAGATTGGATAGAGCAGCAGGTAGTTTCTAACCTCATCGTCCTATAGTCAGGTAATTAGCTAATTTATGGTTCTGTGTGGTACACAAACATAATCATAGTGCTTAAAAGGAGTCCTTGTTCACCTACAGCAAGGTTCTTCATATTTTGAAATTGATGGAAAGGTCAGCTCTCCACTTTGCGTTTAGCATTCAGTCTACCTTCCCTATCCTGATGCTCTCCAAATGGATTGAATTAGAAGCCTCAACCAGTGTGTGCGATACTGCTGGATAATTCTGAGAGGTTCACACCAACAAATAGGAAAAGCTGCTGGACTGACTTAGGTATAACCAAATTCAAGGTGCCAAAATATGACTCAGATATGGATTTAGGACTCATATATGGAATTAAGCAGAATTAGTGGAGTTCAGCAGGTATAATGGTCGAAATCAGAAGGAATTCTGCAACACTATAGAACACAAGTGTCAAACTCGCGGTGACATGTTACTGTCACGTGACGTAATGGCGATGTTTTTCCCCTTCGCGGAGTTGGGGTGGGCGTGGCCTGTGTATGATGCATCCAGCCTCTGGGCCGCCAGTTTAACAACCCTACTATAGAATAACAAAATAACAGTTGGAAGGGAATAAGTTACAATGAAGTCAAAGGATCTGACATAGGCTATTTGATATCCGGTCTCCTGCTTGAGTACGGCATTGGAGATCTTCTAGTCCAACCCCCTACTCAAGCATATATACCCTTGATGACGAACCTATGGCACGCATGCCACAGGTGGCACGCAGAGCCATTTGTGCCAGCACGTGAGCCGCAGGCAAACTTACCTCACTGGGCATATGTGTGCCTCACAGCTGATTTTTGGCCTGTTTGAGGCCTTTTTTGGCCTCCCAAAGGCTTGAGGAAAGCCTCTGCAGCCCCCCAAAATAGAAATACTGGAAGTGATGAAACGGGCCTATTTTTAAGCCTGCAGAGGCTGCAGAGGCTTTCATCAAGCCGCTGGGAGGCTGAAAATCATCTGGGAGGCGCAGTAAAGGTAAGGGGGCATGGGGGGATTGCGCGCGCATGTGCAGGGGATGTGGTGGGGCATGCACATTGCCTTCTGGGTGCTGGCATGTGAGCGTGCGCGCACAATTTTTGGCACAGGAGCCCAAAAAGGTTAGCCACCACTGCCCTATACTATTTCAGATACTACCACTAGCCTAAGTCATATTATTTGACTTCATTGTAACCTTCTTTTCATAAGTAGGGATGTTTCTGTTGTAAAAATTTGTTTGCCATCCAACTCCCAAGGACTTTGGGCAGTTCACAAGTAAATGCATTAAACGCACACACAAATTTCAACGTTAAAAGGATGAAAGATAGCAATGACCAAAAAAGTTGAACAGGAACAAATCTTTATTCACCTTTGCCAAAAACCTGGGCAAGAAACCAGGTGTCCCAATCTTATACTGAGTGCCAAAAAGTTAGTTTAAATATCCAATATCATGGATTTCCACCCATAGCTAGCCTCTCTTCTGTATACAGTTGAAATGCTTTAAATGCTAATATTAACCATATTAGTGAGAATCAGGGGAGAAACTTGCTCTTCTGAGTTCAAAATAAAGACCATCTGTAAGAAGCATCTGTCACTTTATGGAAGGGACTCAAAGATTGCCACTTATTTTCTTCTGAGGATGGAGCAAGGAAACAATTTCATTAAAGCCCCTTTTTTGGACTTGCTCTCCAAAAGCCGAAAAGTTCCCACTGCTCTTTCAGAGTTTTCCTGTGTTTGCACAACAGGATTTCCTTGTTATCACACTCTTCACTTAGGTCTTCTTTAACCATGTCAACCTCCAAAGTAATAAAAACTACCGTGCCTCAGCCTGGCAGCTGTTCTGGTGCCCAGGAGGAGAAAGCACTCAGCATATGTTCAGAGATCGCCTTTAACTCCAAAGTTTTTTAGGACTTTAAAAAAAAGAAAGTAGTAGTTGCAGGACATTTGGCCAGGGGAAAGAAGGGGGGGGGGACGAATCAAAGCAGGGTTTTTCTGCTGGAATGCTCAGGTAGATATTTAACTTTTCCATTTTCAATCCAGGTGTTCAAACAAAACCAGTTGAAATATAACGCAAGGATTTGCTCAGGGTTTTGTTTGTTTTATTTTTGCCACAGACTCTTACTCTTTCCTGGACTATTGATTTTCACGACAGTAAAAAAAAAACAAAAAAAAAAAAACCAACCACAGGGAGAAGGACATTGACCTAGGATACAAAGAGGGGAGGGGGAAAGGGGGGGAGCTTCTTCAATCGTTATTTCATCCTGCAAACTAGGAAACTGCCTGCCTTTCCGTCCCTCCCTAGCCTTGACACACAACCCAACTCGTTGCTGTGTGTCTACACATGCCGGCGCGGAAACAAGGGTGGGGCCCAGCGGGCGACAATGCGCGGCCTTGTGGAATTTGCAGGGAGGGAGAGCAATTAAACCGACCCGCCAACCCCGACGCGCCTCCTTCGCTTGCGTTAAGCGTGCAGTTTCTCTGGCAGGGCTCTCTCTCTCTCTCTCTCTCTCTTTCTCTCGGGCGATACCGCAGGGGGCGATGTTTTCCCATTGACTTTTCCCCCCTCTTTACGCCGTTTACGTGGGGACGGGCTCTCCCACTCTCTTCCTCCCCTCCCTCCCTCTCTCCATCCCTCTCTCTCTCTCTCTCTCTCTCTCCTCCCTTCTCCGCCCGCTTCCTTTTCAGTGCTACCGGCGTAGCTTTTTTTTCCCCCCCTTCCCCTCCCCTCCTTCGTTTAACTGGACGCGAAGGAGCCAGGAAGTTTCCGGTGCCGGTGGCGGGCAAGGTTGCCGGCGGTTGCGTCGGAAAACTGCTGGGTGGCGTTTGTGTCTCGCCGCCGTTTCCTGCCCCGATCCACACCGGGCGATGTTATCAGAAGCATCTGGGCGGCTGTGCCCGATGAGTGTCTAGGTGGGGCGGGGGGGGAGGGGGGGGCCCAGCCCTCCCTCCCCTTCTCCCGGGGGGGATTTCCCCCCTCCCTCCTGGGAAAGTGCCCCCCCCCCCCCCCCCCCCGCCCCTGGGTGTGTGAGGGCTTTGCAGGAAACTTTGGGAAGTGACGGGGGCGCCCCCCCCTTTCCTGCCCTTCCCTCTCTTTCTCTCCCTCCCCCCCCTTTCCATTAAGACTGCCGGCAGCATCTGGAGCGCCTGGTGCTGAACTGTGCCTGGTGGGGCTGGTTACTTCTGGAGCGGGGGAAGCAGCTGCCGCCGAGCACAAAAAGAAGTCTGTCTTGCCTCTTGTGTCTCTCCATCCCGCTCCCCCTCCCTCCCTCCCTATCTATAATGCTCTTGGTCTCGCTCTCTTTTTCCTTCTCCAGGATGGCATGGATCTAGGGAGCGACCCCTGCAGCAGCCGCTCCAGCTCCGAGTCCACTTCCAGCAAAGTGACTCCTTGCTCGGAATGCAAATCTTCCCCGTCGCCTACCAGCCTGGATTTGGCTGCTTTGGAGGACTCCGAGGAGGAGGAGGAGGAGGAGGAAGAGGAAGAGGAGGAAGAAGGAAGAGAGGGGGAGGAGGTCGAGGAGGACGACTTCCAGGAGTCTACCGCGAGGAAAGGGATTGATGTGTGGAAGGAGGATGGGGACTATGCCCCGCGCCATGCCAAAACCACCCCTACCAGGAGGAGTTTAACCCGAGAGCCGGTGGAGGTGAGGAGTACCTGCCTCAGCCTCCCCACTGCCACCATGCCCCCTCCAGCTCCCACCACGAATCCCCCTCCCCATCCTCACCGTCACCTGCAGGACCTTAGGCACAATGCCAACATGGTGCCGTCCAGCCACCGGACTGGACACAAAGGGGGTGTGGGTTACAGCAAAGCCCCCTGTCTCCAGAGAGCTCAACAGGGAGGTCCTTTGCTTGCCTTCCGCCCCGTGGAGAACTCCTTAGGAGGGGATGCCTTGAAAGAGCAGGAGCCTCAGCTGCCCACTATGGACTGGGAAGCACTGGAGAAACACCTGGCTGGGTTGCAGTTCCAAGAACAGGAGCTCCGGAGCCAGAAGAGCAACTACACCTCTGTAAGTTGGTCTCTTTCCTCTTTATTTTTCTTGCTCTTTTTCTTTGCTCCCTTTTTACAGAGTAACAGCGATGAGAATTAAAGTGTTAATGTTAGTGGAATTGCTGCTACTTAAGGAGACCGGAGGGTGAGTCATTTCCCATGCGAGGGAGGGCATTGGATGATTATGGTTTTTTTTTCCCATAGAAGGTAATTTCCAAAGGGCAGCTGTGATTACTTAGATTGGGATAGCTGGTTGCTTCCTTTTTTTCCTCCAAATATGTCCTGGTATTTGGGCTTGCAAGAAACCTCGTGTGCACTGTAGCGTGTTGTGTAGAGTGGGAGAATGCCTCCCTTGGATTCAGATTTAGACAGGAAAGAGACAAGTGTTATGCCTTGTCCCTTTTGTTCTGCAAGAGAGATCGGTTGATTGGTCTGCCTTGGTCTTGAGGATTAGGGGCTTTGGTGGGTGATCTTTTCTGTTGGGAAGGGAGGGAAGGGCTGGGAGGGTGATCCTGAACCACTTCCTGTTCCTTATCAGAAGAACACCTGGCTGCATTCAGAAAAGCCAGACGTGTGGGTGGCCTTAAGAGGGGGAGAAGGAGTGGGAAATGTAAGCAGGAATCTTAGCCAGCTGGTGCATGTCTCATTGTGAATTTGCCCTAGTGAAAGGGTTTGTGCTATCTAATGCCTGTTTCTCTGCCCTTCCTTTCTAAAGGTACAGCAGAACTTGCAAACTTGGGTAGTTTATAATGTTTATTTAAAAAAAAACATGTGGTTTGTTCTGCAACAAAAATCTCTTGTTTAATCTAATAGCTCTGCTAACATTGTATCACTTTTGCCTTGGGATGTGACTTGAAAATCTAGGGCCTTCATGAAGCTCTTAGAGATTGGGTGTAACACTCTTTGACTTTAGGGCATGATAAGTAACTTCATTTTTTCAGCATAATTGACATTGTTGCTTCCAGCAAGAGAAGGGCAAAGGGAAGGGGACTTTGTTTGGTGTCTTCCCTGATGGACAGAGCCAGTAAAGATCAGTTCCATATTGCAATTTGCTTTAATTGCCCTTTTCTCTTTGCATCCAGAGCACATTATCTATAAATACCGGATAGAAATGGAAGGCATGATCTTCACTAGATTTAAAGGGAGAAAGCTTTCTTTCAAGGGTTTTTTTTTTTCTATTTAAAAATTTCTCTGTAAAGACAGATCAGATGCAAAGTCCAATAATAAAGTGCTATTATCCCAGCGTTTGTAACTTCAATAATGTTAGATTCAACAGAGATGCTGATGACACTGCATTTTAAATATGGTGTACTTTTGGAGAGAATATGTGATTTCAGAAGTATTTTGCCTGTAGATAAGAAATCAAGAGAGATAGCTGAAATGCCCAGCTTTATTTCTTGCTGGGACAGAAAAGTCTGATATTGTTCTGTAAAGCAAAGAAGTTTATTTTAGGCTTCAAAATCTCTCTGGTGCCTGCTCTGTGGACAGATATCTGGTTTTTTATGTTTTTGTTTTTTCACTTTTGCAGATCTTTCAGTTTAGCAGGTGTTTAGTAATGACTTGTGAGAAGATGCCCAATTCATGTTTCCTAACCCTCTAGTTAAATTAGATCTCAGTCAGTCTGCTTTGCCTGTCAACAAGCATTAATGTATTTTCATTTTTATAAACAATCTGTAAATATATTTCCCAAAATGTGACACTCTGAAACTTACTTAAATGTTTACTTCAATGATGCAGTGGAACTACACAATGAATTACAAACACTATTAAATGTGGTAATTTTACTTGAAGACTCTAGTTTTATTTCCAAGTTTAAATTATTTCCCAAGGTTTTTTTTAGAAGTTTACAACTTGCTGATGGTCTTCTCATCTGACTTCAGCGAATCAATATACTACTAAAACTCTCCTGTCTACTTGTCTGTAACCTTAAATTAGAAACAATGCATCATAGGATAACATTTTTTGAATCAAGATACCTCAAAAGTCACCCAAAACCAGTACACGTGGGATTGACATTTCAAGGATCTTTAGACCAATGATACTGACAAAGTTGTGGCCTCTTCAGACTCATCACGTGGCCACAATCAACTGTGGACACATGATTGCCATTTCTAATGATCTCTGACAGCTTCCCACAAGCAAAGGAAATGTGGAAGCTGACAGGAAGTTGGAACTAGCTCCCATTCTCATTGTTGGGGGTTTTTTTTGCCTGCCCATAGTCATTCCAATTATCAGTTCAGGGAAGGAAAAATATCTTAATGACTCAACAGATCATGGATTGTCTAGTTTTCTATTAATGTTTCTTCTTTGAAGCCTTTTTTTCTTTCTGGACCCTAAGGACCATGTGAAAAGTGGAGAATGGGTTCACTGAATGACTCTGGCATTCACTTAATGACTGATGTTCCATTAACAACTGCAGCATTTGCTAAATGACCACTGCAAAAAAAATGTAAAATTGAGTTGATCGTATGATGACCCCTTAACAACCTACTTTTTTTTCTTTTTGGAATCCTGTAATCCCTTTTTATTTGGGTGGAGGCTGGGCAACTGACTGGAGTTGAGCATTTACTGACCGGATGTTCTTCCTGATGCCTACACAGAGTTCACAGCAGATATTTTCTCTTCACACCCTAATAGAGAAACATATCAATCTTCCAAGTGGGAGGCGATCATCTTCACCTCTAGGCCACTACTCCACTCTTAACAACCTACATTACTTGTAATTCCAGGCTCAATTAGGGTCATCAGTTGAGGACTACCTTTATTTAGTCAATTTTAATTTTTGTGTTAATATATTTCCAAATAATGAACGCCAAATGAAAGTCAAGATGGAAAATAGGCAGTAGGCTCCTAGATTTTTCTGAAAGCCAGTTCCCATCACAGCAGACAATGTTATTCATAGTGGTATCTACTGAGAATTAATTGCTAGCCTATTCACATGGCCATTGTCCTAAGACAAGAGTAGGCAACCTGAGAATATTGCTAAACAATTGGGCCAAATATCCTCATCTTCATTCCTTCTGTCTTACTGTGATACGGAGGCTGTATCTGACAGAGTGTGTAGTACATTCACCACCACTCTGATGTTTAACCTACAGTATTTCATTTATGATACATTGGCCAAAATACTAGACTATATTATAGATTATAATTATTATAATACTATATTCTACCCATTGCTTCTTGTTCTGCCCTCAGGGACTTTGGAGAATAGCTTGAGTCCTTCTTCTTTGTGGCAGCCCCTGAGATATTGGAACACTGCTATCATGTCTCCCCTAGTCCTTCTTTTCATTAAGCTAGACATTAAATGGACATGAATCCATTGAAAGATTTAAAATATCCTTCAAAATAATACTTTGATCATTTTGTAGGTGCTGGATTGCAATAAAGTTCTGGGCACTTATGCAAGATTGTATAGAAGACTTGAACTTTTGCATATCTACTAATGTTAAATCATAAAAGGAAGTGCCAGCCACGGGCTCAAACAGACAATCATATCTTCGGTTATGCTTATTATTATTTTTTGGTCCGACACATCATGTGAATTTGATACTTTTTCCAGCTGTGTTGCTTCTGCTGGAAGAGTCCTGTTACCCCTTAATCTGTTTCTTCTACAACAAATGTAGCATCCAGGCTCTAGTCTGGAGGACACCTTTTTTTTTGTTCACCTGCACCATATAAATCACCTGGAGGAAGAATTTATGAATGATGGATCTGTCACGATGGGACACTTGTATTTCTCTTCTGCTTTCATTAGTTGGTCTAGCACGCTAGAGAGTTTTTTTGAATGTACTGAATCTATAGAAACTCACATTTATTCCAACTTATTTCCACAAACCTGAATTAACAAATGTTACACTGAGATTAGAAAAAAATTGCTTAATTTAAATTTTACACCTTTAATTTTGATTTTGTTATTTGTGCATGGTTGCTTCATATTTTGGTACCCTAGTCAGTCACAATAACTGTAATTACTGAGCCTAGGCCTTGTAAACAACTTTTCATACGAATATTTTTGTAAACAAAATCTGTAAATGCTTCAGTTGCATTTCATCTCTAATTAGCATGCAATGTTTGTAGCAATCTGGCTAACTCTTTATTTTTAAGCTGAGCTAGAGATATAGTGCACCAAAGTCACTGGATGCCTGGATATATTTTTTCTTTGAGGAAAAGTTATATTGCCTAGCAAATCAGTCTGTAATAAATTTCCTTTCATTTGCATATGTGAACTTGATATAACAATAGTAATTTAAAAACCTTGGAGGGAGGGAAGAGAAAGTGCTTCAGTGATGAACAGACATAATTGTTCATATATTTATGAGTTTTATGAACTAACCAAAGTATGTACAGGCAGTCCCCAACTTAGAATGGCAATGGAGTCTGTCCCCTCATGGTCGTAAGTCATGACGGTCATAAAACCATCACTGGCATAGTTTTCCAACTCTTTGTAGTGATTGTTAAGTGGTCCCTGCAGTCATGTAGTGGCTGTGATGGTTATTAAGCAAACCAATGGTCCATTATGGGCACAGTTTGGCTGAAAACTGGAAGTAAATGCCAATGTCATAAAATCCAGTCATATGACCACAGGATGCTTCAAACAATTATAAATGCGGCCCAGTTGCCAAGACCTCGAAGTTTGGTCATGTGTTGGGGGGGATCATCGGTACTTCAAATCTAGGTTGTGAGTAGCCCCCAGTAGATCTGTCGTAATTTTGAACAATTGTTAAGTAACTGGTTGTAAATTGGGGACTAACTATTTACAAAGGAAGGAACAGAGTGGAACTTGTTGGGGCAGGGAAATAAAGGTAAACCAGTAGCTCCCTAATTTATATAAAGAGGAAAGATTGGTTCTTAGATCAATCCCAACCCAACCCTACATTATTCATTTTATCCTTTGGATAATATTTATTTATTTATACATACTTCACTGGATACATTTGTACTCACTATTTTATCGCTACTTAAAATTTTGCTCAAGTTACAAAATCTTACCTTGCTGAAAAATCACACCAGCACTTATAAGTTAAATATAATTTCTTAAGTAAAAACATGGCAAGGCATGCTTCAATGAACAGAGAGAAGTGGCTTTCTTGTCAGACTTCCTTAGGAAATGACTTCTATTTGTGGAATGTGCTTTTTTTTCCCTTTGAAAGTATCCAACTTGCTTGTTTCCTTTGTAGTAAATGCATTTTTAAACCTGCAAGAGTTTGGGGTTTTTTCAGCCTCTGATACATAGAATTAGTTTGGGAATGACATGGCTCACCACTAATCCAGTGAAGTGCACTGAGGCCTTGTGACTGATGGCAGCATTTGTCAGGCTCCAAAAACCAACAAGGACACATTGAGGCAGTTTTCTTTATTGTTCCTCAACCACAGATAGAAATTTTGACAAACTAAAGCACACTACTTGTACCATATAAAACATACTCTGGGAACTATTAGGGAGGAGCTGTCTTCCCTCCCTCTTTCTCGCACACAAACTATCAAAACTGTGATATCTCTTACTCCTCTGGGATGTATCCTCTCCCTCCTGGGAATCCGGACAGCATTCAATCACAGCTGGATTACAGCTGGCAAGAAAAGTGGACAGAACTTTGCCCTAAAATTGCTGAAAAATATGTCTATTTTGAAGACCTACTTGGTGTCCTCTGAATTCTTTGTATAACAGCTCCCATTATCTCAACTCCATATTGAAGACCAAAAGAGGTTACAGTACTGCACCAGGATTGAGTAGACCCAGGTTCAACTTCTCAATCATTCATGTTAAGGCCACACTGAGATCTTTTTTGATTAAGACAACATGCACTTCACAATCTTATTACTCAAGTGCAATAGATATTTTATTTCCTTTCCACTGAAACAAACATTTTATTATATTGTGTTATTCCTGTGTAAAAAGAGATTTGATTTCCTTTTGAATGAGATGCTAGTCAGTAAAAGGGCCCCACGGGCTTCCTGCTAATAAGTTTGAATTTTTATAACATTTTTTTCTGGTGATAAATTTATTCCCTGTGTGTTTTACAGTTATGGCAATAAAATTATTGTCAGTAGTATTACTGCAATGTTTTAAGTACTTAAATGTGTCATAATCAAAAACTATAATAACAGAATGGATGTAAAAGTATAAATATCTGTTTTGTCAAAAAAAAATTGTGCTGTTTGTTTCTGTCATGCTAGGACCAGTTCTATGAGGGTGCAGTTAGCAGGATTTAAAAAATAAAAAGCTGAGAAGGATTGATCTCCTGTATCAATTTCTAAAGATTCCATTATGCTACAATTTTTCTTTAATTTTAACCAATGCAAATTCATAAAGTTTGGTCCAAAAATATAATGCAATATAACTCATAAAGTACTTGATAGAACAGGAATGGCTTTAAATGAGCAGTGTAAGGATTGCTAATGTCTTGCCTTGTGATAACACAGCCAACTTCAGAAACATCTTGCATATTCAGAAGTTGTCAGAAAACAGGGATTCGTGAAGGCTGAAATGGGTATTTTAAATCCCTGAAGTGTTTCAAAGCAATATGTCTAGACTCATACAGGGC